GGCTTGGAGATCGGCGCACCTGGGCTGGGGGAGCTGGTGGGCACTCCCAGAGTAGGGGCATCACCGCCGCTTGGAGTTGCCACGGCGACCGGGAGGATCTCGATGGAGACAGCATCCCCGGGTCCCCGCAGGATACGGATTAACCCCTTCTCCTCCAGCTCCTCCACCTTCAGCTCTAGAGCCGAGGGCCTTGCGGAGGCCGGGGCAGGCCCTTTCTCAGGCTCGGGTGGACGCCGGGGGACGCCCATGGCCGTGGAATCGCTGAAGCGCTCCTGCAAGCCCCAGGGGAGGGGTCAGTGCCCACCGGCAGGCCTGTCGCCGCCGAGCCCCATCGCCTTGCCAGGGCGGAGGGAGGGATAACGACTAGAAGCCCCCGACTGGTCGACTGGTCTGTTCTGGGGAACCCAGACGCCCCCTCGCCCGGCCCCGGCCGCAGCCTCACCCGCATGGTCTCCAGCTCCTTCCGGGCCTGGCTGAGCTGCTTCTCCAGCTCCGCGATCTTAGCCATGGACTCGTTCTCCGCGTCCCGAAGCCGCTCTGTCAGCTGTGGCGGCGGCACATGGTGAGTTCCCACCCGCACCCAGGCACTGGCACCACCGGCGAGGGGGCGGCATCAGGCATGGCCGTCTGGAGAGCTGGGGGCGGCTTCCTGACGCACAGCCCAAGGTGTTGGGTGGGCCGAGCCTGGCACTTGAACCCAAGTGGGTGAGGCACTGAGGGCGCTAAAGTCCTCTGGGAAGGGGAATCCAAGGCCCCACTAATGAGGGAGGTAGGTGAAGAGGAAACCCAGCTGGGAGGGGCGTTAGGCTGGACGGTCCCCCCAAGTCAGGGCCTGGGGTCTGGGCACTGGGAGAAGCCCTGCACAGTGTAGGCGCTCAGTGAACACTCACTGAGAAAGACACCCAGAGGATTGAGGATGTAGGTTCAGGTAAAACTCAGGAGCCAGGCAGCCATGCCCAGTTCACTCCTAGAACCAGTGGTAAGCCCAGCGCCTGATGCCGGTGTGGGGACCTGTGGGCCTACTATGTCCGGGCCAAGTTCAGGAGCGGCTCTCACCAGGGTCACCTGCTCCTGCAGCTCCTCCATGTGCTCCAGCACGGCATTCTTGGTCTCCGTGTCCTCCAGCAGCACGCCCACATCAAACACATTGTCCAGGTACGCCTGGATCTGCACCTGCAGCTTGTCGCTCTCTGTGACCCGCAGCCTCTGTCTCCCAGAGGGAAAGGTGGGTGAGGCCTGGTGTGGGGGCGTCTTTCCAGTACCACCCCATCACCCCAGAGCCCAGAGGAAGGGGCCGGAGCACTAGCCTGCTTTTTTCCCTTGATTCTTTTTTCTTTTGAGTTTTTGTTTGTTTGTTTGTTTTTAGATAGAAAGAGGGATAGAGAGATAGAAACATCGATAAGAAAGAAACATCATTGAGCAGCTGCCTCCTGCATGCCCCCCAGTGGGGATCAAGCCCACAACCCCAGCATGTGCCCTGACTGGGAATCAAACTGGTGACCTCTCGGTTCATGAGTCGATGCTCAACCACTGAGCCACACTGGCCGGGCTCCTTTATTCTTTATTGAGATATAATTCACTATTTCAAACTGTACAGCTCGGGAGTTCTTAGTATAGTCACAAGGTTGTGCAACCATTATTGCTATCTAATGCCAGAACCCTGTCCCCATTAGCAGCCACTCCCCATGCTCTCCTCCCCGGCCCCTGCCAACCACCAATCCTCTTTCTACTTCTATGGACTTAGCTATTCTGGACATTTTCTATAGAAGCATCATACACCATGTGGTGCTTTGTGTCCGACATCTTTCACTATTCATAACGTTTTCAAGGCTCTGTGTTGTAGTATGGATCAGTATTTCATTCCTTTTGTGGCTGAATAATATTCCCTTGTGTAGAAATAGCACCCTAGCCTGCTGCTAGTCATGGTTTAATCAATCCGATCCCAAAGGCCTCCCCCACGAAGCCTCCCAAGGAATTCAAGAAGAAAGCTGCAGCTTCTCTGCTCAGGCCAGGAAGCACCAAGCCCCCTGTCCACCTTCCCCAGGGAAAGGAACTGCATGGCCAGGCCCATCCGGTGTGCACCCGCTCTCCCTTTGGCCCAGTCTCTCTGCACTCCCCATTGTGCGCTCCGGGAGCCAGACCCAGGGCCACCTAAAGCCTGTTCTCATGCCCGGCTCCATGGAGTAGGTGTCTATTATGTGGCAGACGCCATCCTATTGAAGTCATTATTATCGCTAAGATTCTCCTATTTTACAGATGGGAAAACTGAGACTCAGGGAGAAGAGACCTATCCAAGGTCACATTGGCTAGGAAGTGACAGAGCCAGGATTTGAACCCCAAGCCTGCCTGACCCCAACACCCATGCTGCCAACCACTGAGCCATACTCTGGGCAAACAGTTAAGTCCGGGGGAGAGTGCAGGGCTCACCTCTAAGTACAGGTCCAGGCCCAGGTGGGTGAACTCATATTGCAGGAAGACTCGGAAGTTCATGTTCTCCACTGAGTGTACCACGATGTTGATGAATTGCATGCAGGCCACCTGGGGGGTGGGGGACATGAGCAGGTCTGTGATCCTCTGGGTGAGGGGTTCTCAGTGCCTTCTGCCCCCCACATACTCCCCAAGTCTGCCTCCCTCATTTCTCACTCCACTAACCCAGCTTTGTCCCTGCCCATATTTCTCTCCCATGTCCCCTCCCTCCAGCCTCCCCCTCTCAAACATCTAACCCTCCCCCCCACCCAACCATCAAGCCTCATACTTTGCAGGTGCAGATACCCAGGCACCTGGCCACACCTTGCATCTGAGAGTGGCTGAGCCCCAGTTGGGCCCCTGAGCTCACCATGAAGTCGATGTTGCTGTCTTCATTCCGGAAATATTCCATCAGCTTTTCAAAGCGGTGCTGCTCCCCACACACCTGGGTGGGGACAATGGCTGTCACTGAGGCCCCAGGTCTACACCTCCTAAGCCATCTTCCAGCTGCTATAGGCTCCTCTCAAGTTAAATCTCAGTCAGGCCATGATTCTCTTCTGCTCAAAACCTCCCCTCCCCCTCGATCTCTCATAACCCTCCCCCTCACTCAGGCCGCACTGGCATCCTGGCACATCCCCACCTCAGGGCATTTGCACTCCCTGATCCGCAACCAAGGTACATGCCCCTGACCGGAATCGAACCTGGGACCCTTTAGTCTGCTGGCCAATGCTCTATCCACTGAGCCAAACCAGTTAGGGCTGTCTGGTGTGCTCTTACCTGAGATAGCCTCCACACCAAGTCCCTCACTTCCCTCGCAGCTCTGATCAAATCCCACCTTCTCAGGAGGCCTCCCCGACCACCCTGCAACCAGCTCCCCCAACCCCTACAGCATCCCTCACTTTTTCCCCATAGCACTTAACATTTTCTAACACACTATGTAATTTGTGCATTTATTATGTTGTTTATTATCTGCCTTTCCCTGTCGTATTTCTTTTGTTAACTGATCACTAATACATCTCGAGTGCCCGCTCTGTGTCTGACACATAGTAGGTGCTCAATAAATATTCCTTAATGGTATGAATGCCACGTGCTGACTTCTGCATCGTATTCTCAAGCATTCACTTCTCATGAGCCAGTTAACCAGAGTCAGCAACTCTGAGATGTATGGATCAAGTCCAACTTGGATATGGCAAGGCTGAGGGTCAGAGCGTCAGCCGATGCTCATAGCTGTCCCTGTCACCCCAGGCAGTGCCCCTCCGTGACTCTACACCTTCTCTTCAGAGCTTCCCCATCCCCGATTGTCCCCACCCTGTGTTCCCCAAATGTCCACCTCACGTCCCCAACTTCCCCCAGCAGAGGCCACAACTGCCAGCAGGGCTCTAAGCACATAATGCAACACTAGAGGACAAGTACACCTTTTGGGGGGGGGGACCTCCAGTACCTCCTTGAAGTTGTCAAAGGCTGCGAGGATGATGTCGTGTCCTCCCCGCACCAGGCACACAGCCGCCAGCAGCTCCAGCACCAGAGCCTTGGTTCTGGGGAGACAGGTCAGGTTGTCCCTCAAGAACAGCAGGCCCAACGCAAAGGTGGACAGGGGCCTGGCTCATGACAGGCAGGGCAGCTGGTGAGGGGGGTGGAATGAGCCTGAGCAGTAGTCCTGAGAATGCGGGGGACAGAGTAGGCAAGCGGTAAAGTAGCAGGAGAATCTAGATAGAGAAAGGCTAGGGGCCTGGACCTCACCTGGGGTTCTTGTTGTTGAGGCTCAGAGCAATCTCATTGACACAGGCTGGGTGGCTCATGACGAGGCTGAAGCCAGACTGGGGAGAGGGAAGAGGTCAGCTCCTCCAGGCAGACCCCCAGGACTGCCTCTGGGATCGCCAGGGCCACACCACTGCCCTTGCGCTTAGAAAGTCCTTTATATCTACTACCCACAGCCTCTTTTCAGGCAGCCAAAGCCTGGTCCCCCTTTTTAAATACCGTTGTTCAAAAGTCAGTGTCAGGACTCAGCACCTTGGACAGGGAGTCCTCAAAGGCCGGCTGAGTGAGGGAGGACCGGCTTCACTTATCACTCCTCCCGGTGAAATAACCCAGAGCTGCTCTCCCCATGGGCCTGGTGACCAGCCTTTCTTGGTGGGTATGCCTAAGTCCCCACGTGAGACATACCCATGCCCGGGGTACCCTAGGGGACCTGACCTGGAAGGGGCAGAAGGTGGTCGGCCTCAAGACCCTGAGCCAACAGCCCAGATCCCCAGGTCCTCCAGTGGAGGACAGGGCGAGGGCACAGTCGGTCCCAGCACCTCAGCGGCTTAGGCAGCCCCTGGTAAGGACTGGCCTGGCTGACCAACCTGGTAGTTCATGATGGCACGCAAGCACATAATGCAGACGTGGACGTCATCCTTCTGGCTGACGATGCGCGAGTTCCGCAGGGTCTTCCTGCTGTGGGCTGGGGTCAGCCTGGGCCGGGTGGGGAGGAGGCAGCAGGGGTCAGAGCCCCAAACCCAGCTTCCTGGCCAAACCCCCAACACTCAGATGGTCTCTGGGGTAAGAGGGGGGCACATCTACCCAACCAAGAAGGTGGCGGAGGACAGGAAGTTCCCCTCAGTCCCAAGGCCTGGGGCCTGACATGCTGGGGAGGATGTGGAGGAGGGTGGGTCAGAAAACAAAGACCCTTAACAGAAACTTGGCATTAAGAAGGGTCACTGTGACCCAGCCAGTGTGACTCAGTGGTTGAGCATCGACCTAGGAACCAGGAGGTCAAGGTTCGATTCCCGGGCAGGGCACATGCCCAGGTTGTGGGCTCAATCCCCTGTAAGGGCTATGCAGGAGGCAGCTGATCAATGATTCTCTCTCATTATTGATGTTTCCATCTCTCTCCCTCTCCCTTCCTCTCTGAAATCAATAAAAAACGTATTTTTAAGAAGAAGAAAAGAAGGGTTACTGTGTTGTGGAGATGGAGAGCCTATGAGAAAAGACAGTCAAAGCTTGGAAACCGCCACGCAAATGCTCTCCACAAGGGGGCGCTTCCGGCCACATGGGCTGATCTTCCACATGGAGAGGCGGCCTCAGAATTCAGACTGCCTCGTCTCAAACCCCAGCTCACCACTCACTGTGCAAGTGACTTAGTCTCCCTGAGCCTCCGTTTCCTCATTTGTAAAACAGGAATGATAATAGTAGCACCTCTCTGATGGGGTTGTGGGGACTATGACATGAGCTCAGCACAGTGCCTGGCACAGAGGAAATGCTACTAGTATATGAGTGCGCTTAGTCACTCTTGGCTAAAAAGCGTGATTTTTGTTGTTGTTGCAGATGTCGCCAATGGTGACGTCCGCATCAGCTCTTCTTGACAGTCCTGTCACGTGTCCAACAACACCCTGAGGCCCCACCTTGCCCTTCTGCCTGCCGCATTACCCTGCGCTCATCATTGCAAAACTATGCCTCTTGCTCACGCTGTGCCTTCTGCCTGAAATGCCGTTCCCTGTCCCCACCACTGCCCGTAAAGCCCATACCATCGTCAGACACAGTTCCTGTACCGCCTCTTCCGGGAAGCCTTCCTGATGCCCCAGTGGCCGCCTCCCCTCTCAGAGCTCACAGTCACACTCCATGACAGCCTGTCACGCATTGTCCCCTACCAGACCTAGGACTCCCCAGGGCAGGGTAATGTCTCCTGAGCACCTGCTGCCATGACTGATACATAGTAAAGGCCAAAAAATACTGGTTCAATGAATGAATGAATGAATGAAGCATGTGGTGAGCTTTTGGGTCTTAACATGAAGTTAGTCCTCATCCTACCCAAAGTAGGAAGAGAGGAAGGTGGGCATCCTCATGAGGCTCCAGGGCCATCTTCTTCCCTCGCCCCACCCCCCAGCAGGATGCCCTGAGTTAGGGTGGGGTGACCGATCCACAGCAGCTGAACCCAGGGGCATCAGTTGAATGCCTCACCCCACCCACCACCACCCGGGAGACCACCAGGCATGCACCTGCCCCCAGGCAACTACATACCGGGGAGAAGGGGGGCACCTGGAGGCCGCATGGAAGAAAACAGCGGGTTAGATGGATACAAGAGGGGTCCCATTCACCCAGAAACCGCCTCCTTATTCCAGACCCACCCAGATGCCCATCCCTGCCCCGAGTTCTGTTTGAGGCCCTCACTCTGACCCCTAATGCCAGGCTACCCCTCCCACCATCCCTGATGTCCCAGAGTGAGGCTGGCTGCATGCAGAGATCTAGGGGTGAAGTCTCCTTTCTCCCCATCACCCCGCCAGGGGGCCCACGTACTTGACGGTCAGGTGGCGACTCCTGGGCTGTGGCACCGAGGAGGCGGGGGGGCCCTTGCTGAGGTCTTCCACTGACTGCTCCAGGGGCTTGCTCTTCTCCGCACTTGGGGCTCCATTGTCTGTGCTCTCCATGTCATACCTGAGGGTCAGAGTGGGGTTGGAGGCCAACACTGCAGGGGGAAGTGAGGGGAGAGAGAGTCCCGCAGGAGAGACGAGTGGGCAGGGGGAGGCTGTGTTCTTGGCACTGTGTTGGGTTTAGGAGGGGGAGAGGGAGCAGTGGAACAGAAGAGGAAGACACAGGTCCCAGCTGGGCTCCCCAAGACACACCCCGCCCCGTCCACGGCAGGCCTTCAGGAAGAGGCATGGCTCAAGGCCAGGGCAGGGTCCAGGGTGGCTAGGGCTGCACGGGGTGGAGGGACCAGGGGAGCGGCAAGGCACAGGAAGGCACGGATCAGCACTCGGGAGCAGCACGCGGGCAAGGGCAGGGGCTTACGTGACGGAGCACTGGGCAAAGGCCAGGTAATCGAGGAGCACATCCAGGCCGCGGTTCTCCTCGTTGAGGAACTCCTGCACCCACCTGCGGACACGGGCTCCTTCAGCGCCAGCAGGAAGGTCCTGCCCAGGGTGGGCACACAGGACGGGCACGGGCCCCTGGGGCGCACTTTCCCCAGGGATGCTCGGGGGCTCAGGCAGGACCCACGGCCTGGCCATGCCTCAAGGGATGCGGGTAGAGGAGGAGGCAGAGAAGCTGTCCTGGATACCTACCCCAGAGGTGGCCCACAGGGGAGAGCAGGGGTAGGAGGGGGACTCAGCAAGGGAAGGCCCGGGGGGTGCCTGGAGGAAGGCTGAGCCCTGGCTCACCCGATGTGGTTTGTCCTCAGGGAGATCTCCAGCTCCCGAAGCACCTGAGTGGACTCCTGGACTCGCCTCTTAAACTGGGGGCCAAGAACAGGGGAGTCTAGTGGGTGGAGCCCCGCCTCCCACAGGCCCACCAAGCCCTGCGGCAGCAGCCAGCCCTTCCCCCTAACTGGCCTTTCACGTTCAGCCGCCCCCGCCACCTCCTCACACCTGCCCAACAGAATAAGCATTCTCAGGCTACACACACTCCCCCATACACAGACTCGCAGGGTGCACACACAGACCTCCATACACAGACATACAGCACACACACCCGGGACACAGGGCACACACATATATATTCAAACACGAATACCCCAGGTACACACACACATGCACATCCAGACACAAATATAAGGTACCTACACATGTACACACAGACACGTGGGGTACACATACACCCTGTACATGGACTCAAAGATACACACAGCCCGGCTGGTGTGGCTCAGTGGTTGAGCGTTGACCTATAAAACCAGAAGGTCACGGTTCGATTCCAGGTCAGGGCAAATGCCTGAGTTGCAGGCTCCATCCCCGGTGGGGGGTGTGCAAGAGGCAGCCGATCAATGATTGCTCATCATTGATATTTCTATTTCTCTCCCTCTCCCTTCCTCTCTGGAGTCAATCAATAAATATATATTTTTTAAAAGGCACACACATATCCATATGTGAATACAAAAGTACACACATGCACATTCATGCACAGACACATGGGGCGCACACACCTATACAAGTACACACGCGTGTGCAGCGTACGCACACACAGGATACGCAGAGGAACCTGTGCAAGTGCCCGCCCAGGGCACTCAGTCCCTGTGAACACACACTCACACATGCACCCACACAACCACAGGCAAGTTTATACACACAGCTACTCCAGCTGCCCAGAGCTTGGAAGTGCAGGGGGAAAGGAACAGAGAAAAAGGGGGAGACGTGTACCCCCAGGTTGGACATCCAATCCGATGCTACCTTCCGGCTGACCCCACCAGTTTCTAGGTAGCTCTTCAGCTTCTGGATATAGGCTGTGGGGGGGTTCTTGACTTGAAACCGCTCCTGGGGAGATGGAATGGGGTGTACAGGAACCAGCCAGGGCAAAGGACCAGCCTTTGTCCCTGCATCCCATTCCCAGCTTTGACCCCAGGTTCCTGGGGAATACCAAAGCCCTAACCAAACCATCAGCCAGGCCACTTCCAAAGACCCCAGGCCTGGGCCCAGCCTTTCCTTCCCACTGTGGCTCTAGCACAGCCTTGGGTGGAGTGTGGAGGGGTCAGTCCTGTCATACACCCCACCTGGGAGGAGGGGACTCAACCCCCCAGTAGGGGGCACCCTCCCAGCTGGGCAGGCTGGGGAGAGAAACAGTCTGGAGGGACCTTATGGACGGGTCCAGGTCCTCCGCAGGCTGGGGACCCCTTCCCCAGGACACTACCCCAGCTGTCCAATCGCCTGGGATGTTAGGTACCCGTGTGTGCCCATCCCCTGGGCTCCTGACTCCCCCGCCCCACCCAGCGCTCCAGGAGCCACTCCCACAAAGAGGTGGTGGCCTATCAAAGGCCTCCTACCAGAGGAGCTCCCATCCTTCCACCCCAGGCCCCTCACACCTGCCCAGCCCTCCACCTTCCACCTCTCCCAGGCCTTTGAGCCCCAACTTGAGAAGCCAGGCCCCGTGGCAGGGACCTCCTACTACAGCCTCAGAGCCTCTGGTGGCAGCTCTGCCCCGCTCCCCCAGGCCTAGCCCTTTCCCCACCCCCATCCCCAGACTCCAGCCCTGCCAGCTCCTCCCCTCCATTAGCAGCAGCAGAAGGCCTAGCCCTGGCTCCCGGGGGAGACTCCCTGCTCCCTTCTCCCCACCCTCAGCCTCCCGGCCACAGGCCCGCCTCCCTGTGCACTAAAATCACTGCAGCCACAAGGCCCCGCCCTGTCCCAGCAGTGGGAGGGGTCCCCCTGCTACCATGGACAGCAGCCCTGGAAGCTGGCGGGGCAGGGCAGCCAGTGAGCCTTGAAGGTGGCAGCCCAGGCTCCTGACTGCGCAAACCAAACCGAGGCAGGGGGTCTAGTCCCTGCTCCACCACTTAGTAACCGGTGGGCTTTGGGGGGCTGCGTGGTGGACGGCAGCTCCTCCGGACCCAAGGTAAAAGGAGGACAGGGACCCTGCCCACTTCCCCTGGGGTCAGGCAAAGATGTCCAGCCCCGGGGGATTCCCTTTCTTCCCCCGCCCGGAGCTGGAGGCTGGACAGAGGCTGCTCCAGGAAGCTGAGCAGGGGGATGGTGACACAGCCCCAGCTGAACTGGCTAGCTCATGGACTAGCCCCCGCCAGCTCTTCAGAGGACAGACCCAGCCCTGCTCATGACTCATGGGTCTCCGGGGAGGCCCATGTCCAAGAGAGGGCGATTCCGGAGCCCTGCAGATGCCGCCAGCACCCCAGCACCTCCCCACACGCTACCCTGGCCTCTGGGTAGGGTCTTGGCCAGGGGTCCTCAAACTTTTTAAACAGGGGGCCAATTCACTATCCCTCAAACCGTTGGAGGGCCGGACTATAGTTTAAAAAAAAAACTATGAACAAATTCCTATGCACACTGCACATATCTTATTTTGAAGTAAAAAAACAAAATGGGAACAAATACAATATTTGTATTTGCATGTGGCCCGCGGGCCATAGTTTGAGGACCTCTGGTCTTGGCCCTTTGGGCATCATGGCAGTGCCTCCTCTCCAGCCAGCCCCAGCCGGGCCGGGGCAGGGCATCCAGTGGCAGAAGGGTCCTGGTACCCACCTGGTCACAGATGAGCTCCCACTTCTTCTCGTTGTCATACTGGCTCAGCAGCTGGACCTTGTCCGGGGGCAAGTTCATGCAGTTCTGGGAGGGGGAGGACAAGACAAAGACCCTGAGCCTGGGGCCCAGCGGGAAGGGAGGGAGCACGGGCATTTTCAGGGAACCCACTAGGGACCAGCTCCCTAGAGGTCTGTCATACACATGAGTCCCTGTCACCCTCACCCTGGGAGACAAGTAACATCAGCCAACGAGGAAACTGAGGCACAGAGGTGAGCGCCCTGCCCTAGGCCCAACAGCTAGAAAGTGACATTGAGATCTGACTAGGAGTCTGCCTGACCCAGGGCCTGAGCTCTGTCAGCCCACACCAACTCCCTGGCACACCTGGCATGCAGGCAGGAGTGTAGGTTCTCAGCCTAACTTCCTGGGACCTCAAACACCTCTGGGCTCATCTCCCCATCTATGCTAATAAAAGAGTAAAATGCTAATTAGACCAGACATCTTCTGGACAAAGCCATGGTGGCAGGGCTGAGGCAGAGGCGGTTAGGGGCAATCAGGCCGGCAGGGGAGGGCAGGCAAGTGGTTGGGAGCCAGCGGTCCCGGATTGCAAGAGGGATGTCTGACTGCCGTTTAAGCTCGATAAACCGGGCTTAAACGGGTCCCAGATTGGAGAGGGTGCAGGCTGGGCTGAGGGACACACCCCCTTGCACAAATTTTGTGCACCAGGCCTCTAGTGTGCAATAAGAAGGTATCATCCCTTCTCCATTGAGGCGAGAAGCTAACAGGAGAGCCATCTACAGCCAGGTTCCAGTGTGGCCACACACCACCAGGCACCACATGCCCAGCCCAGGGCACCAGTGTCTCACAAACACCAGAAAAACCTTTTTGTTGATCCTCACCTGAGCATATTTTTCCAATGATTTTTAGAGAGAGTGGAAGGGAGGAGGAGAGACAGAGAGCTAGAAATATCAATGTGAGAGAGATACATCGATTGGTTGCCTCCCACACGTGCCCCAACCACGGCCGGGGATCGAGCCTGCAACCGAGGTACATGCCCTTGACCCTTGCCCAGAATCGAACCCGGGACCTTTCAGTCCAAGGGCCAACACTACCCACTGAGCCGAATCGGCTAGGGTCGTGGTCGGCAAACTGCGGCTCTCGAGCCACAGGCAGCTCTTTGGCCCCTTGAGTGTGGCTCTTCCTAAGCCTTAGGAGTACCCTAATGAAGTTAATAACAATGTACCTACCTATATAGTTTAAGTTTAAAAAATTTGGCTCTCAAAAGAAACTTCAATCGTTGTCCTGTGACATTTGGCTCTGTTGACTAATGAGTTTGCCGACCACTGGGCTAGGGCAACACCAAAAAATCTTGCCATGATGCAGACAGCAGCCTTCTTCCCCATCCCTCTCCAGCCCCTCCCACCTCGTCACTTCTGGAAGGAAGGAGATGGAGACAGGCTGAGGGAGCTGAGGTCAGAGGTCAGGGAATTCCAAGAAGGTGCATCATGGCTTCTGGGTTTGGAGGGGGGATTCCAGTGGAAGGTCACCCAGCCACAGGACCTGGGGA